CTCCCGATCTCCAAATAATCGTATATTACATTATTAAGTATTACCATGTACTATTTATCCATAAAAAACTATATTATATTATTAAATATTACGATGAATTTTTATAAAAGACTAAAGCTCTCCGTGGCTATTTCATTTGTTGCCGAGAATCAAATAGATTACACGACAATTGAAACATGGCAAAAAAGTGGGAAAATTCAAAAGGTGCGGTTGAGATGGGAAGTTTGTCCGAGTGGATCGAAGTCATGGTAGCTCAAGTGGTAGAGCAGCGGCGTATCAAGCCGAAGATCGTGGGTTCGAACCCCGCTCGTAACACTGACTTTTTATCTCAACTAAAAACTTTAATCAATTGAAAGATATTAATTGGTCAACCGGACCATGAAAACTAGTGAATTTAATAAGTTAAAATGAAGTATACTTCACTAAAGCTTTCCGTGGCCATTTCATTTGTCGCCGAGAATCAAATAGATTACACGACATTTGAAAGATGGCAAAAAGGAGGGATATTCAAAAGGTGGGGTTGAGATGGGAAGTTAATGCCCGAGTGGATCGACGTCACAATAGCTCAAGTGGTAGAGCAGCGGCGTATCAAGCCGAAGATCGTGGGTTCGAATCCCGCTCGTGCCATTGACTTTTTTATCTCAACCAAAAAATCCTTAATTAATTGTAACATATTTTACGGTAACTTTTAAATTATGTTAAGGTTTTTTATTTTATTTTTTCCTTTACAAATAAATAGTTTCTTTTAAATTGTACAACTTTTTAGTAGATAGTAAACAGACAGGTAAAAAATGACACCAAATTGATTTTTTTCATTTTATCAATAAAAGACTATTCTGCATTTAATTTGTCTCATTGTTTTTACTAATAAATATTGTTTATGCTATGTTTTAAATTGGAAATATCAATTAAAGGTGAACACACTTAATTCGTAATCCAAAACAATAATAATGGATTTTTCAATGTATAATTTTTACGAAATTTAAAATGTTTATTCAGTCTTATTTGAATTCTGAAGGAATAGACTGCTTAGTTTTCATTTTTGTTGTCTTAATTTCAATTTTTAAACTTAAAAATGCGATTTAGGGCTGAGGATGTTGCCAAAGAGTACCTTGTTTCCTCATCCACGTCCCTTCTTTCATTATTTCCTGTGATCCCTCCCAACCCTTGGTAACAAGTGGGGTGTCCGGGCGCAAAATAATGGTGTAGCCCTGAGGGCTTGGCAACCTCTCTAAAGCACAAGCTGTAAGCCAGAAACACACTTACCCGATGCTAAGCCATGCGACGCTACCCGATGCTACTCGACGCAAATCCAAACTCCGATTTTCCTTTTTTAGAGTTTTTATAAACATTGTTTAATTATGATGGTTAGGAGTAACTTTATTTAAAACAATTAAGTTTAACAAACAATTTATTAGATGGTTGTGCTCATAAAATTTAACTAACAATTTATTGCAAGGTTTTGCTCAAAATAGTGCATTAAGAGCAAAAGATGCGTCGCGATTGTGATAGTGATTATTGTGATAAACGCTGTGGACTGTACGCGACGTGTACTTGCGTCGGATAGATGGGCACACCCCACCAAAACGTGGCCAGGCGTCGGGCAGCATCGGGTAGCGTCGCATGGCGTAGCATCGCGTAAGTGTTTCTGGCTGTACTCGTGTTGGCCTCGAGTCGGCATGGAGCGGCGGGTGCCTTATTAGAGGCACACGAGGGTTAGGGTAACAGATCCTGTCGGCATAGACGGAGGAGGGTGCATAACCATCTGTACTACGGAGTAACAGATATGTGCCAAGGTTCAGCCCTTGTTAGAATGGGAATGGACTCGTAGTTGGCCGTGGTGAGACCCCTGGCGGGTTCTTAGAGAAGAGGCTGTCTTCTATATGTGACCTTCGCACCAAACTTGCGCATGACCATCGTTATACACCCGGCCTCACGGGATACGGCGGAGCGGACGGTAGCGTATAAGCGCTGAGGATGCTATGATTATGCTGAAAAGTCCCTCGAATGCGTGAGTAGCGGCAGATGGGAACGGGTAGTGAATCGGTTGCTCTTACTCGAATATGCTTTGCACGTAGGCAGTCTCCTCTAGGGGGGTGGTTAGCAATTTCACTTTAAACAAAACCGCGGCCGGAGCTGATCCGGTAGTTTCTACACTGGGGAATCCCCCTACTGTGGGAGGTAGAGTGGCCTTTTCTACGTAGGGAGTGCGCGGGAGACCAGGCTGATGTATTTCGGCTTAGGTAGACCTTTGCGCGCGGCATACGATTCGATGCTTAATGCCGACCCGACCAGTCGGAATGGGCAAGCGGGGAGCGAGGTAGTCTTGGCAGAGCTGCCTCTACACCAATACTGCGGCAGTAACACCATTCTGTCGTACGCAGAGGTGCGACAGCTCTCAGCTTGAGAATCAAAACGTCCGATAAGGCCAAATAGGCTAGGTGCAGACGTTAAAGATCTTCATTGTCCTTTTTAGGACGACCGAGTATAGCAATGTCTACGTACCAGTATACGACTCGTGTGGAAATTGTCAGATGCACGGGTCAGGGCAATATTGTGTACATTTTTCCTCATTCAGACTTTGTACTCATTTTTTCCACCAGTGTTTGATTATCACAGATTGGTCTTCTATGTTGGAGGTTGCTTGGTTTGAAGACAAAATTTCAGTATCACCTGCATATGGTGACGATGATGGTGGAATGTATATGGTATGCAAGATTAAAAATGCTTTTTCTTATAACTTACATCTAAGACAATTTAAGTTTTCCTTGGTTTATTTTGAGTATACATATATAGGTTATAAATGTGAATGAAATCAATATGAATTTTAGCCTGTCGTGAGGATGGGGGTTCTTTAATTTCCCCCGTAGGCTTTTAACTATAAAAAATAATGGGATTAAGATTAGGTTAGACAGGGACCTCGTTAAAATCAATTCCTTCTGATCTATCGAGAATCAGGACACGTATCCCCTGTCTTTCTGAGAAACCGGATGGCAGGGGATCTCACACGTAGGCACTTAGCCGATTTGAAAATAACCTTCACAAGAATGCCATCTATAAAAAGAAAAATCGAAATAGGCAGATAATATGTAAAATTATTAAATACCGGTTTAAATAATCAAAAATAAACAAAGATAAAGATTAGAACAACTTCGCGCTTTCAAAGGTCATCTAAGACCATAATTACCACCACCTCCCATCATCTACGGCAACAGTACAAAAAAAGTACTATTGTGTTTTTTTTTCTTTGATCATATATACTCGAGCAGACCTTGTAGCAACAAACCGTTACGTTAAATAATTAATAATAAATGATTGTTGTTATCGTCATAATATTTAAAACATACTCTGATTATTGTAAACCAAATTAAATGAGATAAGAAATTCATGCGTTTTAATAAAAATTATTTAATAATGACGGTTTGGAAGGAAGTCCACCAAAACACCGGAAAATTAATTGATTAATTAATTAAAATGATTAATTGATTAATTAAATAATTTTTTTTTTTTTTTTTTTTTTATTNTTTTTTTTTTGGCGTTATGAACTATGCATATTAGCCATGTGACAAATTCGTATATGTGTGTTCAAATTTGGGGGGTTATTGGGAAAAAAGGGCCAGGGGCAACGGTGGGAATCGAACCCACGACCGCGGCGTGAGAGTCTCTCATGCTAACCACTCGGCTACCGCGGTTTAATTAAATAAATTAAATTATGGTTTATTAATTTTTGATTTATTAATTATGATTTATTACTTTTTGATTATAAAATTAAATTAATTTATTAAATGATTAATTAATTAATTAAAAATGTATTGATAGATTAAAATTTATGTAACATTTTATTTGATCACTAAACGATTTTCCGGGGTTTTGGTGGATTTTCTTTCAAAGCAAGATAATTAAATATTTTTTATTTTCTTATCGTGAGAGAAAGAGAGAGAGAGAGGGTGAGGGAGAGGGAGAGAGAGAGGGTGAGGGAGAGGGAGAGGGAGGGAGAGAGAGAGAGAGAGAGAGAGAGAGAGAGAGAGAGAGATAAATGAGTTGGACGGAGAAAGACAGGGGGACACACGAGAAAGTAAATATTAAATAACAAAACACACAAGCACAAACCTTTAACCATGTAACACACATATGCACACTAAAATACACACATTATAAATAAGTAAATGTATTGTATATGAATGATAAAATCAATAAATATAAATGTGATTCAGCAAGGAAATAGTAGGCCTCAGTGAGCAAAAAAGCAGGAAAATCTTTGGAAAATCGATTTTACATAAAAGAAAAGTACTGGCCCCTTCGATGACCGTTATAATCTTAAAAGCGGAATGCCGCGAAATGCTCGGGTAACGACAAAACTGATGACGTAAAATACATGTTAAAATACATAGTGACAGAGTCTTCCAGTAAATTTAAAAGTAAATGTTAAATTTTCAGGATCAATCATGCTTCGCAGTTTGAAAAATATATTGATTACCCCCGAGATTAATTCGTTGTCAATGTAAAAAAAAACATATGAGTTTAATAAAAAAAGGTATATCGATTTTTTAATATCTATTCAAAGTTAATTAATTAATTAAAGAGTCTGTAAAACATATTCTTCTATTCACACTCCTTATCTCATTGTCGACATGGGCTGTAAATTAATTGTTCTTTTCGCGATAATTATGTAATTTAGAAGGCCGGGAAAGAATTATTTTTAAAAAGGGCGGTCCAATTTTAATGAAATCGGCAAAGTTGGTCAAAATGCTAGTGTATTCATTTTCACATTGTGTGTTATATAAATAATTTTTTTTGTTAAATTTTATGTATTTTATTGTTTAAAACACATAAATGAATAGTTGTTATTGAAAGTATTGTGTTAATCAAGAACGTTTCAAAGAAATATTTAAAAAACTGTATTAATTGTTTTCCCCAATTACATGGTCACAATAATAAAATTCAAGTCCGTAAATTCATTAGAACATCTTAGCCAATAAAAAATTTCTTTGTTTTTCTACCTGGTTTTTGATTGCATTTTCCTGCGTTTTCCCGACACAGGAGCGGGGTCACGCACTCTCGGTCCTGTTCCATCGTGGGCTCCTCGGTTTGACTGAACCTTCTCCAGACTCGGCGCGTTCGTCCTTCAGGTTATGCAGAAGGGGATGAGAGACGTTTTGTAAACACATAGTTGATTATTCCCCGTATTGTACATTGACGGCCGATGAGTAAATTTCGGGAAAAAGCCCGTTGTTTTTGTTCAATCAATACGATTATTTTAAAAGCGGTCCACCTTAAAATTCTCCAGCTGGTTACTAACCCAATCCTAATTTTTAGCCTACTAGTGATTTAACGTCTCTCTTTTCCCATAGGGAATGTGGAAAATGGTTCAGATCCATGAGTAGTTTTGATTATCGTCAACAGGTTGATTATTCTATACACTGTGTAAATGCTTTAACATTTACAAGCTATCATCTTTCCTACGGTTAAAACTCTCTTCTGTTTCTCCAAGTTGCTTTATATGCTGAAATGTTTAGTTAGTATAATAAACGATCCGTGTAATACAAAATAATAAACGAAAAATACAACATTTTTTCGTTATTAGTGTACTGGTCAAGAGAGAAAACAAAAAAATTAAGGAAAAATATAATAAACAGATGTTATACAATAAAATAGAAAAGCAATAGTGGAATTAGGTAAGATAGTGATAAGGATGGGCAAAACAATAAATAACAAGTTTCCCCAGGGGCGTCGGTGGCCGTAACGGTTTAGGCGTCGTCACGGCGCTCATCATTGTAAGGTAAATGTCCCGGGTTCGAATCCAGCGGCCCTGCATTCGAACCCGACATACTTACAATTGTTTTGTTTTTTTCAAAAACACCGGCACCCCGAGGGTTGATATAATCTCTGCTGTTGCAAACCCTCGTAAAAAAAAATCCTCGTTTATTTTTTGTAGAAAATTATAATATTGAAAGCTGATATTAATTATGTTGAGATAGTTTATTTTAAAAAAAGTTAATTTTGATCACAGGATATACAGGGTTCTGCAGGACAACTTGTGTTTAAATGGAAGGGAATATTTATTTCCATTGCATATTTAAAGGGTTTTTTCCTGAGCCGGAAAAGGAGGTTTGTGAATTTATTTTGTAAACCTAATGTTACGATCAAAATAGTGAAAACATCAATGGCACAGATCGCTGTTCCGGTACTTCAGAGCTATAGGGATCTTTAAATGTATATAGTTTTTTTTATGTGTGTTTGTGTTGTGTCTATGTTTGACTTTATGTTGATTTATTCGAATGAAAGTAATTTATTAGTATGAAAGGAAGGGATGGATGTAACCCCGCCCGAAGAATATCCAGTACTCTGGGGTGAGTGTATGACGTCTGGAGAATAATAGTCATTTATTAGCGTGAAAGGAAGAGGTTGCTTATAACCCCGTCCCGAGGAATATCCAGTACTCTGGGGTGAATGTATGTCGTCTGGAGAATAAAAGTCATTTATTAGCGTGAAAGGAAGAGGTTGCTTATAACCCCGTCCCGAGGAATATCCAGTACTCTGGGGTGAATGTATGTCGTCTGGAGAATAAAAGTCATTTATTAGCGTGAAAGGAAAAGGTTGCTTATAACCCCGTCCCGAGGAATATCCAGTACTCTGGGGTGAATGTATGTCGTCTGGAGAATAAAAGTCATTTATTAGCGTGAAAGGAAAAGGTTGCTTATAACCCCGTCCCGAGGAATATCCAGTACTCTGGGGTGAATGTATGTCGTCTGGAGAATAAAA